CCAAAAAAAAAAAAAAAAAAAAAGCAAAGCCAACAACCACCTCTACCCACCCTCTCTGCCCCTTCCAAAAATGCCCTTCACCTTGGGTTGTATCTTATTGAAATAAAGCATCACTTGAAGTTATTTTCTTGAGTTGTTAACAGGAAATTGCAAATGCAGTAATAAAATTTTTAGGTCACCAGGATTTATGTTTTATTTAACTGCTGAACTCTTGCAATTAGAGGAAAGGAATGATTAGTTGTTCTCATTTACCATGTGACATTTACATTAAGGAATAAATGCTCTAGTGGTGCATTAATTTATTTATCATATGATCCTGGATGTGTATAATAACTTGTAAACATTTTCCTATAGCTAAGTATATGATACGACACTTTTATCCAATAACACAAATGCATTTCCATATTCAATCAGTGTCTCTAATTTAATTTTTTAGTTAGGTTTAGCAGTGCTGCTGATGAGGCAAGCTTGCTTTAGTGATAGTATTTATCTGAATCTTTCTGAATATTTATGCATTTAAAAAACTCATTTATGGGCTTCCCTGGTGGCGCAGTGGTTGAGAGTCTGCCTGCCGATGCAGGGGACACGGGTTCGTGCCCTGGTTCGGGAAGGTCCCACATGCCGCGGAGCGGCTGGGCCCATGAGCCATGGCCGCTGAGCCTGCACGTCCGGAGCCTGTACTCCGCAACGGGAGAGGCCACAACAGGACGCGCAGGCTCAGCGGCCATGGCTCACGGGCCTAGCTGCTCCGTGGCATGTGGGATCTTCCCGGACCGGGGCACGAACCCGGGGACTCTCAACCACTGCGCCACCAGGGAAGCCCTAGAATTGCTTATAAGATGTTTTATTTCAACATACTGTCATGAAGAAAAGGAAATCTTTATGAGATCACACGGGAAAATTGCTTTATTAGAATCCCAATCTAAAATCTGTTTTCGGCATTGTTCTTGCCAAACAAAATACATGGACCAAAAAAAAAAAAGAAATAGCACCTTTTTTGGGGTTTGTTTACTATAGAATCTATAATGGTTTTCTGAAATCCTCACTTACATTATGAGATATAAAAGCATTGATTTGGAGTGAGATGGCCCTGGTGAAACCTCCAGTTTTGCCAGGTACTAGCTCTATCCCTGCTTTATTTTGTATAGCATTGTATATGAATATATATTTTTCTCATTTGATTCCTGGGAGAATTGATTTGGATAACACATTTTTTTTAGTAGCTAGCACATCGTAATTTCTTAATAAAAGATAGTATAACAAAAATGTTATCATTAATAAATTATGTAACCATACATATAAAGAACTTTCTCTGGGGAATTTCAATTAGATGGGATTGTATTAGTTTCTATGCTTTTCATGTTAAAATGAAGACAGAAAAACCCTTGATCATCGATCCTTTTTTTTTCCTTTTGTTTAGCATAATAATTGGAAGTACTTATAATTTGCTATCCTAATGCACTAATATAAACCATAATTATAAATTCACATTTATTCTTGCTGTAGTAGTAAATACTTCCTCATTACTACAGAGAAGGGAAAATAATCAGAGTTTCAAAAACAATGAGGTTTTTTTGGCTTAAACATTTTAGTTCTAAGAACTTATTATATTTATATATTATTCAGTCACGCATGTGCGTAGATACATGGATGTTGGTTATACCATTTTTATAATAACAAAATCCTGGAAATGATAATTTTCAATTGGGACATATTATGAGCAGATTATGTTGTATTCATATGATAGATATTGACTGATGGAAAGGATGGTGTTGATGATAGAAGGTAGAAATTGAATAATCTCCATGATATATTAAATGAAAGGAATAGGACAAAACAGCATAGAAGATTCTTATGTATGTATAACAATCTACACATGCACACACACTTACATATGCATGAGATATTTCGGAGAGGATGTTCTGAAATGTGAAATTGGTTCTTTCTGAGGGGGATATATCTTGCTTTAAAGGGTGATTTACTTTTACTTTTGGATTTCTTATATTTTTACCATGTATATATAAATGTAAAATTTAGTTTAAAATATTCATGAAAGGAAATAAATGAAAAGGCAGACAATAGCTATCTCAGATGTTTGGCATATGATTGATTTATATCTGTGGGGGGGTTGTGTCTGATTTATTCTATAATTTTATAATAACATCTTTCATGATAAATATAAATTTTAAAGACAGATAGGATTGGTTCACAGATTCATAAAAATAACTTGTAATAAATAAAGTGTAATGTACTTTTATTCAAATTTACCATTTATCTGTGTATTGATTTTTAGCATTTTGGAATAAATTCTGTATTAATTTAGCAATAGTTTAACTTTCTTTTTGAATAAAGTCCTAATTATTGGGTATGTCAGGACAATGTAATCACCCTCTTAAATTCTGGCTTTATAAGACCATTCATACATCTTCACAAATGGAGATAGCAGTAACAATAAACGAAACCTGAGTCATCCTTGTGTCATCTTCTGTCTGTTTTTTATTCTTACCCTTTGGAATTGTATCACTCCTCATGTTTGCCTCTTCAGATAAAATAAGTCATAGCCAAAATAAAATCAAAATGCTTTTATTCATTTCAAGAACATTTTTTAAAACAGACTGTTTCTACATTAAAAATGACAGTGATTGAATATCAGTTGGTACTATTACATACATCTTAGGGGAAAGAAAGTTAAATATTGTGTCTGATAGAGGTAGGTAGATTATTATTTAAATTGACATGGAACCCTCAGAAAGGTAGAAATTAGCAATCTGCTGACTTGAAGTTAAAATATAAATGGCACGTCTGTATTTTTTCCCTAGACATATGGTTGACATAAATGGATTTTCCCTATTTAAGAAAAAACAGGCAACATGACAAAACTATTAGCTCCATGAGGGCAAAACTAATGTGATTCATTCACTGCTGTATCCCCAGCATCAGGTATCTGGTACTTAGTAGGTGATGATTAGTATTTGTTGACTTATGCAATTTGTTTAACATTAGCCTACATGTTTAATTAATTGAAATACAAAGAAAATTGAACTATGATGTATCTTTTGATTGTTTAAACTGTTTTCAATTATGAGATAAGAAAATTTCCAAAAATGAAAAGCAGGCTGCTGACATATCTATTGGAATCAGAGCATATTGCACATTCCACTGGAAAGCCTTATTATGCAAATCTATTTAAATTCTGTTTAGTGATATTCCTGATAGAGTTTGAAATCGATCACACAGTTAACAGCAACTTTATGTTTCAAAGATACTTCATAAGCATATTTTGATATACTTTTTTTGTGCTTGTCTCCTTTGAAGAGTCCCTGTAACCATTCTGCCAGGTGTTGGGAAGATATGTAGTAGCTGAGCACCTTACTTCTGTCACCATCCTCAGAATCAACTTTGGAAATGCTTTCACCCTGTCCGTCTTCTGCAGCAGCCAGGCCGAGTGCTGACTCCTTCTCAACAGTGAGGAACTCTTCAGACTCCAGAAGTAAGTTGCTTGCATTCAGTTTGATCATTGGCCAGTGGGTTCAAAAACGCTTAGGGGAGGCTAAATAGAAATCTTGCAAGTTAATATACAAATTAAAAACCAGCATCATTCATCACTGATTATTTCATTTATTTTTTGAGTCCTGTCTTTCTGGAAATACAAAGTCTACCACATTGTATGTTGCTAACCTATATATTTATGGAATCTGCAGATTTTTTTTTGAGATTATTTCACCTGTGTTATCGTGACTCATATTTGAAGCCTTGAGGCATACACAAGGGAGAGATTAAAATAATAATGTTTGCACATGAATAAACAGATTCAGACTGACCAAGTATTTTCTCAAAGTTGCTTGGCTAATGAGTTATGAAGATGGAATAAAATCCCTGGTTTTTTGATTCTTAAAAATCGAGTACTCTTTCCAGGCCTGTGATTTCTAGTGCTACATGGAGGGTAAGCGACTGGTGCTAGAAATAGCACTTTTCCTGATTGGTTGATTTACTGAATGATATGTTCTCTGTGTCATTGGAGGAGAGTTATGGCAGCCTATAAATATTCATACGGAAAAACTAAGGAAAAGGGAAATCACATGTATGATAATAAAATGAAAAAGAGGGACATATTACAAATTATATAACATAATTATTGTGTACTACCCAAAACCAAATTCCCAGCTACATGTTTATCTTTTGGCTTGCTAATTACTGGATAAATCAGGTAAACACATCAATTACATGATTATATTGTCAGGATTTAAAAAATAAAGACAATTTATTTGGAAAAGTTTAGACTTTCCTGGTCCATGTATAAGGTTCTATCATTTTGCCATTTTTCTGGTTTATTTGGTTTGAATTTGGCATGTTTATTTTTTTCCTTCTTCTCCCAAACACTTGATATAAGCATCCCTTGCTGCTGTTAAGGGTATATTTGTATCACAAAATGACCACACAGAAAATGATTATGTGTGCATTTGTATAGGGAGCAGAAGTTTGATATAGCCTAGATTGTCTCTCAGTAATTAGGTGCTTGGCAATTGAAATTTCCTTGAAGGGAATGGGTAGGAGATACTTAATAAGCTTAGTTTTATTTTGCAATATATTACAGCTTAAAATGCCAGCAACAAACAGGTCCGTGTCCTTAAGGGAACATAGAGACTGTTGTTAAGAATTTATTTATGAATCAGGGTGCTACGTTGTATAAGATTTAAAACAGGCAGCCAGTATATCGTTGCTAGTGTACTCAAAGTAATATAGAAGTTCTACTTTTAAGACATAAACAAAAGGATATGTTAGGTTATATTGAGGTTAATTCATTATAACTGTAACTGTAGCATAAAGTGATGAGTCTGAGTATACAGAAGATAGATTACAAATCATTATTTTAGTGTAGGGTTTTTCTATGTATATTTTATTACGTTGTGCTCCTTTTGTACATGATTTATTCATTTCTCTTAAGAATTGCTTTCATGGCTTTTTTCCTTGAGCTTTTAATTAAATAAAACAACTTGAGGAAGACATTCTACATTTTCCACCTTTTACTTTTCTTAAAGAAATTGAGGATCATCTCTGAGCCTGAGGTGATTTCACACATTATGAAGATGTGGAATGTATTGGGTTTATTTCTTAAAGGCAACGTCACAAGAAATCCCAGAGAGTTTATCTGTCCAAACAATTAATTAGATAATTAACGATTTTTTGTTTTCCACAGATAAGGGAAACATTATTTATTTTTCTTTTTCTAAATAAACATCTGACTTTATGAAAGCTGTTAGCCAAGGAGATATATTTACTGACATAGATTCCCTAGTGTAAATCACAAGACTTTGTGAATTCAACTACATTTTCATTTGCTAATAGCTATAATCAAGGCCAGAGGATTTACTTAATTAACCTGGCAATAGAAGGCTAAACAGAAATAATTTATATATTGAAAAGGACACTTCTGAGTTAATGCTTAATTCAATTTTTTTAATTACCAGTCCATTAGTCTGTAAAAGTAGAGCCTCCTTTTCCCTATTAATTTTTTTCTTTGGAATAACATTAGGCTGAAAGTCTTGCATGGAATTAATCACGTTTAAAAAAGAGAAAGTAAATACATTCCTAATTAGGTTCCTCAAATTTCAAATAGCTCATTGAAAATTCATAGCACATCCATTAAAATCCCTTTAAAAAACTAAATGGGATACTGGGAACTTTCTTAGTGGAAGCAAAAAATATGAATGGAGAAGCAGTAAAATAATGTGGGAATGGAATGCCTGTTTGTTATTAGTACAGGACTGTTGAGATGGTGGTGGTTGCTATGATGGTTATTTTTCTCATTGTGGCATCTTCAATTAGTCTTGGCCAGTAAGTAGTACTTCTGTCTGTTTCTGCTGTTCTTGTTTAGCTAAAGCACAGATAAATTTAAAGGAAAACAGTAATATCTGAATAGGAATTGTGCATGCCTGTGTAAATATATAGGTATGTATATATTTATCTAAAGATTGTTTACTATGCACATAACAGCAATGATAATAACTCTACAAGGCTAGTATGTCTTCTAAATATTAAGGTATCCTTAATGACATTAAATATATAATATTTAAAACACTTATTTTTCTGAAAAAAATTCCCCTATACTTAAGACTTGTAAATTATCGACTCTGATAACATTTATTGACAGTGGCTTAGCCCCTCATCATAATAATGACCAACTTATAATCATTTGACACTTTCTAGTACTTTTTAATAAACATTAATTTATTTGATTATTATATTATTTCTATGAGGTAGCTTTGAAAATTTGAATATGCTCTCAACCAGTTTTTTTTTATGCTTAATATCTTTAGGTATATATGTATATACTTGAAATCATTCCAGATTCTTGAGCCACAAAAACATAGATAGAGAATTAGTGTTATTGATAAGACAAAGTAATATGCTAAAGTGGTTACATGAATTAGGTTCAATAATCCTGACAGGTAGAGCAGAGAGTAAACATGTTATATCATGCAGTGCTCATTTTAAAAGAAGGGAGAATAAAAAATTTCTCAAAGGAAGCAAACTTGCTAATGACTCTCACTTATGTACTTAGTGCCAGTTAATTCCAAATTGATATACCTAATCACCTAAGTGCCTTAATCTAACATGTTGTAAACTAAGCTCTTGGCCATCTCTACAAATATACTCTTTTGATGGATTTGAGCTCAGTAAATGACATCATCATGTACCAGAAAAAATAAGAATCCTCTTTTCACTCCTCTCCTTTATTCCACAATTTGGTCACCTAATCTGGTCATATTTCCCTACCAAAATTTATTCTTGAATTCATCCACTTGTCTTCATTTGGGACCATCAGTACCCTGGTCCCAACTACCATAATTTCTCCCCTGGACTACTCCAGAGGCCTCCTGAATTATCTGCTCACACCCACTGATGCATCTATTCTGTCTGCTCTCCATAGAGAGCTTTAAAAAATACAAAATTTAGATGACACACCTCTCTGAAGACCATTCCCCTTAGAACATTCACCAAGTTTCTTTTCCTGGCTTACCACACTCCCATGGGTTAGCACTTTTTTGAATGCCTCCAGCTCATCCCTCCAACTCATCTTTCCCTGCATTCTAGATGCAGAGGCCTTTCAGTTTCTCTTTCCTGTCATGTGACCTCCAATGAGGTCTTTGTACTTGGTTGCTTCTCCCTAAGCAGATCACCACTCCCATCTCCTTTTTGTCTAGTATATCAACACAGTAGTTGCTTCTTGAAGGAAGCTTTTCTTGCTCCGCTTGATGAGATCATCCTTTTATTATTGGGTTGGCCAAAAAGTTCGTTTAGGTTTTTCTGTAACATCTTATGGAAAAACCCAAATGAACTTTTTGGCCAACCCAACTATATGGTCTCATAGCGCCATATAACTGTAATTCATTAAATGTTATATCTCTTTGCGCAGTAGTATGACTAATACTGATATCCCTTCCAGATGGAAAAAACTATAAGGTCACAATCCATGTCCATTTTGCTCAACATTGTGACCCCTTTTTTTCCTTTAGGCACTGTGAACACAGGCATAGACTTCCCCCCCAATCCCCCACCGCCCCGTGTGTGTGTGTGTGTGTGTGTGTGTGTGTGTGTGTGTGTGTGTGTGTTTTAAGAGAGAAAAATCCCTGAGATCCAAAAAAAAAAAAATCACTGGAGTATCAGGGAGAGAAAATTATAACAGACAGGAACTGTTACTGGAAAATTAGTACTTAAATTTTGCCTTTCTGCCAACTTGGGTTTTTTGTTATTGTTATTTTGTTCTTTGCCTTTCTTTAGTGACTTATTGAGACAGTTTTCCTTACAACTGTTATGACATTTATTATAAAGTTCCTGAAACTCTGATTCACCTTACAAGAGCCAGACTTCTTTATTTCTAGAACTAATAGCATTTCAAGTAGTGGCATAAGCTTATTTTACTTCTATACTAATAATGGTAAGTGTTAAATATGAATGTTCAAATGTTTAAATATGAGTGTTAAATCCAAGGCATTGGTTGGTAAAATACAGGTAGCTTCTCTCTATCATGTAAAACATGAGCATTCTTTTGCTTTTATTTTAGAAAAGAAAGATTCCAAGGACATCAACTGGAACAAAATTTTTAAGTATCAACTATTAGATCTCTTCATTTGTTTTTGCACTTTTTTTGTCAGAGATTGACCCCAACTTACTGCATGCTCACCATTCACAGCAGGTGTCTGAATTTTCAGTGCCCTTATCCTGCCACCCTCTCCCCGTTTTAGTCTCAGCATCATTCTTCAGGGTCTTGTTTTTTAATAAGTGATGGATCAAGACCCTGTCCTTGCTGTTATGAAGCAGGTACAAATGAATCCGACTGAAATTTTTGTCTAAAAATAATTATAAATCAGTAGAAGAGGTAAGAGTATTACAGTGCAGAAAGAACTAGCAAAAGATAAATAGTGATGAAAAGCTACACATAGTCATGTTCAGTGTAAAAAGAGCTTACTTGCATCTGAGATTATGCCA